ATCCATGTTGCTGCAAGTGGCAAAATTTCATCTTTCTTTCTAGCTGAGTAGTATTCCATTGTGTATATCTATACCACATCTTCTATAGCCACTCATTTTTCATTGAGCATTTAGGTTGTTTCCATAGCTTGGCTATTGTAAATAGTGCTGCAATTAATTTAAAGGTGGATATATCTTCAGATTCATAGTCTTTGTTTTGATACTTGGGAGTGGAAATGCTAGACTATATGGTAGATCTATTTCTAACATTTTGAGAAGCCTCTGAACTATTTTTCCTTAGAGCTTGGATCAGTTTACAGTCCCAGCAGCTGTGTGGGTAGGTTCTTCTTTCTCCACATCCTTATCAACACTTGTTGTTTTTTGTCTTTTTTTTGTGGGCCGTTTTCACAGGTGTGAGTTGACATTTCATTGTGATTTATAGTCCACTTATAATCAGAGAGAACAAGCATTTTTTCATTGTTTGTTGGCCTTCTGTATGTCTTCTTTGGAGAAATCTTTATTCAGATTTGGCTTATTTTTTGATTGGGTTTTCTTGTTGTTGAGCTATATAAATGTTATTTGTAGCCTCAATTTGGATGTATGGCATATGAATATTCTTATGCTGTTCAGTAGGGTTTTTTTGTTTGTTTTATTGCAGTTTCTTTAACTGGGCAGAAGTTTTTGAGACTAATGTAGCCCATTTGTTAATTTTGCTTTTATTTCCCTTGCCTTGTAGTCTAGTCTTTAAAGACATCTCTGTAACCAATGTTGTGGAATCTTTTGCCTATGTTTTTTCTTTGTATTTTACGGTTGTGAGTTAACGTTCAAGTCTTTGATCCATTTCATGTTTATTTTTGTGTATGGTGTGAGATAGTGGTATAACTTCCTTTTTTTGCCTCTAGCTGTGCAGTTTTCTCAAAACCGTTTGTTGAAGAGATAACTTTTTTAGCTTGAAGCAAAATGTGAGAGGCTTACGTTGATTAGAGCTTTTACCATTTGAGTCTAAAGTCATTATATATATATATAATATATATGTGTGTGTGTGAGTATATAGAGTGTGTATATATATATATATACACACTCACACACATGCATATATATATACCTATATATACTTTAAAATTTTTGGCTAGAGTGTTGAATATTACCTCTAATATGTAAGGGCACTTATACTGCAATTATACTTTTCAGGCCTTGGTCCAGCTCACAAAACTATTTTCAGTTTCAAAGTTGATATTAAAATTTGTAGGTTTTTTTAGATAAATGAAAGTAGTATACTTTGCAAACTCATAGTAAGTGAAATTTAGATGTATCTTATTTCTCTCATGTTTTGTTCAACCACTTTCACTTGCTGTATTATGCAGTTATGTGGTATGGAGTATATGTTATCTTTGCAAATAAACTCTTATACTAAGATCATCCATACCTCAGCATGCATCCTTATTGAATAAATTTTTCAATAGGAAATTTAATTTACAGAATCTTCATCCCACTTGATTTTTACTTTTTCAAAAACTATATATAAATTGCTATTCTCAATGGCTTACTCCCACTTTAGAATTTTCACTTGACAGAATCCTTCTTCCCATCTTCTTTATTACTCTGTTGATTTCCACATTACTTCTTATTCATTATTTTGTATCAGGAAAGGCTTTGTCTTGTTGCAGTTACTTGAACACTGCTGTTTGGGTCTATTTTATATCATGTATATGATCCTTTTAATATAGAGTGAGTTTTTCATTATTTTGTCCCTCAAAGCAGAAAACATTCCTTAGGCTGAAAACATCCCTGAGACATACACTATTACTTTTTTGTTTATCTGTTATACAGAGCTTGGCACAGTCTGAGGTGGTGATGACTAGTGGTATTAAAGGAGTATTGTGGCCCTCCTTGCTTTACTGAAGTCCTAGGTTGATGTAATGGCCACTCATTCACTCTTTTATACATTCATGCTATACACAAGACAATGTGAGTATCTGTGGGAGAGGCAAGGATGAATAGGATTTCTTTGTCCTCAAAGAAATTTTGAAGACCTAAAATTAGGACATATTAAAGTCACATTTCCATAGTATTGAATGAGTTTTCACATAATACATTTAATACTTTTCGTTATTACAACCAGATTTATATTGTGATAGAGGTTGTCTAGTTGATTCAGACTTTCTTTTTGCTTTAACATGTTATAAGAATTTAATGACTATTTTAGGAGTCTTGATCAATGACATCAATGAATGATAGCTTTTATAGAGCTACTGTTTCTAAATTGTGATGAGAGAAGGTTTTTCATCTTGGAAGATAGAAAAATTTGGGGCAGAAGAGGTTTGAATGGACTTATTCTAGTATTGTTAAGAGCAGATTAGGATGCAACTTCCTGGAGACTTGGAAAGAATGTTAGATGTTGGGAAGAGTCCCCCCACCAAAAAAAAAAAAAAATGTGGAAAGATACTAATGACAGATTTTTGTTTATTTCAAAATCTGAGAATATGTGCTTTTTGTTGTCTCTCTTTTTTTTGCCCCCCATAAAATTATAACTTTGGACTAGTTATAACTAGGGATATAGTTCATCTATCTAATGAGAATGAAGTTTTTGCAGGCTAATCTCTAAAGGACTTGACAAATGTCGTGTTGTTTTTATGAAAAAATGTGTTCTACCTTTCAAGTGATTTATTGGTAGATACTAGGAAGGTAACTGGTCTTATTTGTCTGTAACTGATAATAGTAGTCAAAAATAATATACCTTTCCTAGGACTGACCTCTTTCAATTGTAGCAATTTGGCATACTATCAAAAATCTGTTCTTTTGCTACCTGGCTCTGATAGAGATAGTAATTTATAGTTGCATGGAGAGACACAGTTATAAGTATAGGTAGGATAGCACGTGAGATAACTAAGAGTACCAAGTTCTGGTTCCATCATCCTCACCTTTAACCAGTTGGACTTCAGCAATGAACTGAACCTCTCTGGGTTTGAGTTTCCTGCTTTATTCAAAATTGAAATAACAACTACCTCATTCTTCTTATAGTTTGGTAATATTAAATAATAGTTAAAAGTTTGAAAAACATAATACATGACATGAATATTTACTTCTGATAGTAATACAATATGGAAAGATATTTGTAAATTATCATTCACAATTTTTACCTGAATTATATGCTTACTATATATATGAAGATTTTTGTTTTAATTTTAATGGAAATTGAGTTATATTTATCTTCTTGAACAATCAAATAAGGATTTAAGGTTGAAATTATGTTTCTTTAGATAAATTAACTTTGAAGATTCCTTGGAAGAACCTTTATGGAGAAGCAGTTGTTGCAACCCTGGAGGGATTATATCTGCTTGTTGTCCCTGGAGCAAGTATGTTATTTTAGGTTATAACCATTTAGTAACATCATGGTGAAATTAAATTGGTACCTAGGTTTATGTATATATTTAATAAGACACATGTTAATTTAAATAAACTAGTTACATACATATATGTACATGTACACATACATTTTATACATACACAAATACTGCCACTTTATAGATAAAAAACTTTTATATTTTTGAAATGAATAATTTTAATAATTTATTATTCTATTTTTGTGACAAATTATTTTGTGATTAAGTCATCCTAGTAAGTAGAGATGCAGTTGGCAAATTTACTTTTAGGGATGCTAATGAAATTAGTTTTGAAATATGTAGGGGTATGTTAATTTACAGATTTTAAGATTAGAAATTTTCCCCCTATTTTGTTGTTTTTGATTTTGAGTGAATATTCTCTCAAATCTGTATAAAATATGTATTTTTTTATTATATATTATAATATTTGAATTTTAATGAGGATTTCAAAGCAGTGATTTTTTTTTTTTTAAGATTTATTTATTTGTGCATACAGAACTGGGGTACAGGCCAGAGGCTTAGGGGCTGCGAGAGGCATCACCAGAGACAGAGTGGGGAGCAGAACAGGCAGATAGACGAAGTACACTGCTGAGGGGAGCAGCGGGCGGGTCAGGAGAGGTCTGCTGCGCCATGTGGTCACCTCCGGGGCAGGCGGGAATCGAACTCATGCGGAAGTGGCTTTAGCTTCTTAGTGCTGTGCTTTAACCCGCTGCGCCACCAGGGAGGGCCAGCAGTGATACTTATTTAATATCTTTCATTACTAATGTTTTTCAGTTATAAAAACATATTAATAAAAGCTTGCATATTTTTAGGGATAAATTGTTATACTATCTCTACCATAATACAAACACAATTTTAATTTTTACGTTTTACTTTTCTGTCTTTACTATATGCATACTTGAGGTGATGTAGCATTTACCACATTACATGTACAGTAAGACTGACTTTTTCATTTAGTTGTATATATTTATTATGTTTCAGTTTTCCTAGTAATAGTGATGCTTTTAAAAGACTATATGATATTCTGTTGTGGGATGTTATTTTTCACTTTTACAGTGAATATTATAAATATATCCTTCATATAGATATCTTTTAAAAATTCTTTTGTATCATTTGTTTGGGATGCATTATCAGAAATGAGATTACTAGTTAAAAAGGGCTCATATATTTATGATTGTTGACATATTTTGAATTACCTTATGAAAATCTGTCAATCTATATTGATATCAACTGTTATTTCATATTACATTTTTTGATAATTTCTCAAAATGTTACCACTCAGATGTAATACTAGCAATATCCTGATGTATTTTCTGCCTTTCCTTTCTTTTATCTTTCTTCTCACCTTTCCCCCCTTATATCCTTTTCCCTATTCCTTTCTTTTTGCTGTTGTTAAAGATGTCTTTACTTATGCATACAAGTTTATATACATTTTTTAAAAATAAAACTAATCTAAAGATTACAGCTGCTTTTTCTGACTTACAAGAGAAAATTCCTCACATCTTTCTCTCTCTCTCACACACACACAATCATGAAGCTGAACCTTTGATAATTGTATTTCTTTATATTTGAATTATTTATTTTTAGGTATTAAATATGATGCAGAAAAAGAAGAAAAATCCTTGCAAGATATTAAACGAAGAGAACTATGCCGAATTGAAGAAGCCCTTCAAAAAGCAACAGAGAAAGGTACAATAAGTTTCTGTTTTAGATAGACTTAGCTATATCTACATTTTATATTTATTAAGTGCATTACAAAGAGGAAGATTTAATTAGCCATCATAGCTAAAGTTCCAAAGAAAGAATCTTCCTTTTAAATCTTAAAATTTTTATATCATTAGAAATTTTAGTGACTTGTATTTAAGGATCACTGCCCATATCTGTAAATTTAATTTTTCCACTTTTCTTTTATAAAGATTTATTTATTTATACATATAGAAGTGGGGTACAGGCCAAAGATATAGGGTGGGGTAAGATGATTCACCAGAGACAGAGTGGGGAGCAGAATAGGCAGATATACTGAAATACACTGCTGAAGGGAGCAGCCGGTGGGTCAGGAGAGGTCTGCCCCACCTTAGGTCCCCCGCCTGGCCAGGTATGGAACTCATGCTGCAGTGGCTTTGATAGCTATATAGTGCTGCGTTTTAACGCATTGCAGCACCAGAGAGGGCCCAATTTTTCCACTTTTCTTAACCAGTCATTTTTGTCATGCTACTTTTTTTAAACTTTCCAGATTCTTTAAGTTTTTGTAGGCCTATTTAATTTTGCTGTAGGTTAATAGTTTTTTTTGCCTCTATTTTCACCTGTGTTCTTGGAAGCTAATGAGGTTCAGCATATTAGTATGTTGAAATAATTTTGAGAGGAAATATGCATTAATTCTTTTCTTAACTGTATTTCTTTATATTATATAGGATATTAAAAAAAAACTTTATTCTTCAAATTTTCAGCTGCTTCATACCTTGCCTCAAGTTTTAACTCTTTTTTGTGTGTGAAAAATAAATCTGGCAACTAATTTGATTTGTTTATGGATTAGAAATAAAAGTAAGGTGAAAATAAAGTAGCCTATATAGTGATTATTTGAAGAACTTTTTTAAATCCTGAGGTTTATTTTTCTTTCTTTCAAGTCAAATCATATCTCAGTTGTTGATTGGACATGAGAATTACTAGTATTTGGATCATGTTTGTGTCATTTGTTGTTTTGTGTAGATATTTCTGTGATGAAGGAAGGTATCAGAAATATTAAGGAATTTTTCTTTCAAAGGATTTTAATTAAAGGTGATAGAAAATATATTTTAGATATAGTAAAATTTCTTTCCTAAACTGACATATAGATGAAGAAGAAATTTCTTTTTAAAATAGCTTGTTTATTGAAGTTCTTAATCAATGACCTTTATTCTTCTTACCCAAGTATTTTATCTTGTATAGAAATTTTGATTCTTTTACAAAATATACTCAAATACTTCAAGTACAGAGACTACTTAAATGAAGGAAATTTTTTAAAAAGCCTAAATGTTTTTCCCTTTCTCTTTTTATACTGACACATATTTTGTCTTGTTCCTGAAGCTTAAGAATCTGTGTTATGTGAAAACAGTTTTCTTTGCTACTTTCATGTTCCATGTAACAAAATAGTTATCCGATTTTATTTTATGATAATTCATTGTGGTTATTTCTTTTTATTCACTTTTAGTTTATTAGTATATGTAGAAATAACTCTACAAATGAAAGTAAATGCATTGAGAGCACTGGAATTTAATTTCTTTTTTAAAACTATACAGATTTAATGCATTTTCTTAAATAATTATATTCACCCATAGGTATGTTAACACATGCACATATAACAATACAGCATGCAATTGTATGCATATTAATAAATAAGTTATATTTTCCCATTTGAGAAGAAACCCCACACTCCTCCTTTTTGTGTTTTAGATGGAAGTAACTGGGATTGCTAAAAAAATATTTTGGTCTTTCTTGTGAATTGTTAGAAAAGACATGATATATTCCTGTTTCAGTGGTAAAAATTGCAAAAATGATAACCTGCTGTACATTTTGTACTAAGTGCCTACGAAGCTTTGTTTCTGGGTCTTCAGAGATGTTGTTAAGTATGATTTGATATATCTATAGGGAAGGAAGATCTGTAATATTAATTTATGTAAAGGGGACTATTGGACTTATGTAATATATAATAATTATATTGTAGCTTCTTGGATGATAAAATTTAAATTTTGGCAGTAAAGCTAAACTTCAGAAAGTGAAATAGTTCTTACCTTATGTTTGATTTATCAGCAAGATGTTCTGAAAATAAAAGAGATGAATTCAGTATTTGGAAAGTATGTGAGATTGTTTTTCCCTAAAAGCATACAATATAATTTTGTAATGTGATTTACATTGCATATAGGTATTTTTTTCTAGTTTCTGTGACTGTGGATAACTTTTTCATGTTGATATTATTTATGTTATAAAAGATAATCTTGGCTTGGAGATGGTTGGCATTTCACTATAATTAGTAGACAGCTATAGCTTAATTACCATACTTTAGTTTTTCAGACTTATTAGTTTCTACTAATTTCTTGACTTTAAAAGCACCATTACATATGTATAGGGTCTCAGAGAGCTCAGGAAGTGATTTCATTGTAAGTAGCAGATGATGAGAATGAAAGCAAAGTCCTCATGTTGTATATATAAATGTATTTTTACTTAATTTATTTACTTTGTTATATTAGAGTTCTGCATACTGTTGTGTCGGGAAAAACAGAAATGGAAATGCTCAATTTTCCCTTTTTTTGCATAGAAGAGCTTGGGTGTAGGCCAGATGTTGGAGTTGGGGGTAAGAGGATTCACCAGAAACAAAGTATGGAGCAGAGCAGGCGGAGCCACTGAAATAAACTGCTAAAGGGAGCAATGGGTGAGACAGGAGCCGTCAGCTGCATCATATGTGGACTAGCTCCCTGGCCTGGGATCAAATTCAGACCTTATAGGTGATAGCACTGAGGTTTAACCCCAAGGCCAGCAGGGGGTCCCAATTTTCCATAGTTTTTGAGAGTCTGCTTAAGTGTAAAAGTAAACTCCTTGATGCTTTTCTCCTTTTATTTCATTGTAGTTAAGTTAATTTTCCTGGAAATGCTGTAACAAAGGAAAGAGAAAGATTAAACTCCTAATGAGGGCAAAGATTCTCAAATGCTGTAGGTGCTCTATTTAAATATTCATTTTATCAAAGTAATAATATACATATACTTTCAAATTAGGTAATTTTGCCATTGGGAATTTGGCAGTTCCCTGTTCATCCTTCTCTACCATTCAGACACACTTCTTAGAGGGAATGATCATTTTTGAAATACTAACATTCTGTGATCTAATTTACTAGTATAAGGCATTATATAGGATTTTCTGTTATGATGTTAAGAGTTTACCTCTCTCACCATCTCCATTCAGTCTAAATTTCCCTGTCTTAAGATAAAAAATTTTCACCAATCACTACTCAGAATTTACAAAATTGTATAGGTCAAATGATTATATATATTTTTGCATGTAGTTTTTTGTTTATCTTGAATTTATAAATGCTTTCTTTTGTTCTTTCATCTCTGTAAATTTACCTTCAATGTGTCTCAGATACCACATGAAAGCTACCTGTCATATGAGTACCAATATTATTTTCTAATTGCTAGAACCCATTTGTTGGTTCTTTTTTCTGTCCCCTTTCTCTCTTGGCAGTATCCCCCTAAACTGTTTTTTATTTTGTTGTTGTTGTTCCTGCTATCCATTTGTCATTCTGGAACTGGTATTCATTGCTTATCAGTGTTTAATCCACTATTTCCTGGGTCCCTGACTTTTAATAGTTTTTTAAAAAAGATTTATTTATTTATGCGTACAGAACTGGGGTACACACCAGAGGTGCAGGGGCAGTGAGAGGATTCCACACTGACAGAGTGGGGAGCTGAACAAGCAGATTTATTAAATACACTGTTGAGGGGAGTAGTAGGCCTCAAGACAGGAGAGGTCTGCTGCACCATGTGGGTCACCTCTGGGGCCAGGGATCCAACTTGCATTGCAATTGCTGCTGCTAGCTTACAGTGCTGCGTCCTAATCCTTTGTGCCACTAGGGAGGGCCAATAATTTTTTAAAATTATTTTAACTTGTATGTCAAGAGTATATCTAATAGCTTTTAAGAAAGAATATGCTACATATAATTTAAAAAATTTTTCTCAGTCTGAAAGTCTTTATATTTTACTTCCGTACTTGTTTAATTTGATTGGGGATAGAGTGCTAGGCTTAAAATTAGAATTTTGAAGGCAGTGTCTTCTAACTTTCATATACTTTTGAGTAATGATCCCAGTGTGCTCTACCCATTATTGGAAACACAAAAGTTAGAAAATTCCTGGGTCATGTTGTCAAAGACCTTATATTTTAGTTGGAAAAATAAGATACATATAATTAACAGGAAAAAGTACTGAGTCATATGAAAGAGGTATAGATAGAGTGTAAAGGGAATATAGAATGGACATGTCATGCTTAGTTAGCGTCAGATAAAAGTAGACACTGTAAAACAGGTATACATTTCACTGTATTTTAAGAATGAGTATGCAGAAAGCAAAGAGGGATTTCTATATAGATGGATGGTGAAGTTGGAAAACTATAGAACATATATGGAAACAGCTAATAATTTGGGAGCTTGCTATTAATTAGTTTAGTGTAAATTGGGACCCTAACTTTAAGTCAGTTTAAAAAGATTTTACTGATATAACGATAGTAATGTTGACAGTAGCTATTATTTATTGAGTATTAACTACTTGTCAGTTATTCTTCAAAATGCTTGATTTGAATCAACTCATTTAATAGTCATTACTCTATGATATAATTAAGAAAGCTGAAAGTTAAAGTGGTTGTCCTAGGTCACATAGTAAATGATAGAGTTTCAACCTCGTATGGCTGTAGATTTGATACTCAGAACCCTGAGTGTTACTGTGTACTTTAATCTGTAGCCCTTGGAGTCAGTAAGCTTTCCTTTTTCAAAAATGCAGGAAATGACGCAATCAGAACTGTGATTTAGGGTGGTTAGATTTGCTGGTTTGGGGGAGAAAAATGGAAGTTGTGCTATTATTAGTGGATAAAATGCATTCAGACAGTTTATCTAAAAGGAATAAATCACATTAAAGTAAGGTCAGTTCACTTCAGATGACTCTTAAGTTAGTGTAAATATTGTCAGCAAATGGCTAATATGGAAAGATGATAGACAAAAAAGAGAACTAAAATGTCATATTTTTGCTGTTTGAAGTTTTTTTTTTAAAAGATTTATTTATTTATTCGTACAGAACTGGGGTACAGGCCAGAGATGCAGAGGGTGAGAGGATTCACCAGAGACAGAGCGGGAAGCAGAACAGGCAGATCTACGAAGTACACGGCTGAGGGGAGCAGCGGGCGGGTCAGGAGAGGTCTGCCACGCCATGTGGTCTCCTCCGGGGCAGGCGGGAATCGAACTCATCCGGAAGTGGCTTAGTTTCTTAGTGCAGTGCTTTAACCCGCTGCGCCCCTAGGGAGGGCCTGCTGTTTGAGGTTTTTTTAAGTAATTCAGTGAGATGTTAGCTACAGTTCATATTTGTCTGCCTTGCTTAGTTTGAAACTATTGTAGCTTTAATTTTTTAGGATTTTTGTTTAATATTATGAAAATAAAGTTTGTATAATGGAAGAAGGAAAATGTTTTTTCTGTGAATATTTCCTTAGAAATAAATGGTTTTGGTGTCCACAAATTTTAATTGTCCTTTACTTGATTTATAATTCTTTGAGATTATACATTTTACATATAAAATTAAAGGAATCCTTTTAATGCTTTGCATTTTGGTTATTGCTGCCATGCGGATGTAGGCGCACATTCAGGGGAGTTCATATATGGCTTGGAAAACTTTGTTTACAAGGACATCAAGCCTGGTGCGTATGCATGGTTAATTATGTTAAGTTATATAGAAAATTATATTTTCATCCATGCCTGTGCTTTTAAGTCTATTTGATGATGCACTGTCATTTGAGTAAATATGGAAATGTAATTCATGTTTCCCCCTTTATCATCATTTCCTTTCCCCTATTTTCTGTGGTATTGATTCATTCAATAAATACTTAGTATCTTGTGGAAAGCACTGTGTAGGTGTTGAGTGCTCATGGGGTCAAACAAATCTAATTCAATGTCATCATGATGGTTATAATTTGACCTTTAAAAAGCTTTCTAATCAAGCAATTATTCTGTTGCAGTTGTTTTCAAACTATTAAAATACATTAAGTTGACTTTTTTTTAAAAAATAATTCATTCATTTATTCACTCATAGAACTTAAGGGTAGGCCAGAAGTGTGGGAGATGAGAGGATTCACCAGATACAGAATGGGGAGTAGAACAGGTGGATATACTGAAATACATTGCTGAGGGGACTAGTGAGTGAGTCAGGAGAGGTCTGCTGCAAAGTATGTGTGTTAACTCCCTGCCCTGGGATCGAACTCATTCTGAAATGGTAATTAGTGCTGAAACTTAAAACTCCTCCATCACCAGGAAAACCCTGGACTTTTTTTTAGGATGTTCTCCTCTGGCTTTCTTCTCATGTCTTTCTTGATTTCTTCTCCTCACTAAGCAGCTCTGGAGGCACTCTAAACCACCATCCTGTATAGCATAGTGAAAGTTGCAACTTTACAAATGTCAAATTTCTAGTTTGAGAGTGTTAGGCTCTACATTTTTGTATTCTAGGAAATCTATCATGTACATATATTAAAACTATAACTTCCAGTATTTTAAATAATAGTTTGATTTACTAAACTTTGTTTTCTATAACTTTTAGAAGCTTGTTATACTCATTTACTGTACTTAAAATGTGTTTTAATTGCATGATAAGCAATGTCTGCATCTCAAAATTTTAAGTGATAAGCATTATGATGCAGTTACTTCTGCAACTAGAAACTTCTTTAATATTTAATTTTATTATAGCAGTTGGAAGAATTTGCATGGTAAAATTCACAGCATTGAATAAAATTACTCTGAAATCAGTTTTCCTCTTAGCAAATCTGCCTTTTTGCTATGTCTGTTTATGCTACTTTGTTTTGTGCTTACTTTGATAAATGTAAAAGATAACATGGAGATATATATGGCAAACTGTCCCATTTTTATTTTATTTTATAACAGTTTATTTTTACATCATTTTGTACATTTTTTTTTTCCATCTCAATTGTAATCCCTACGGGTTTCCCATCACCAAGTCACCCATGTGCCATCACCATAATCCCATGCACTTCCTTCCCCACCCCCCTACCCCTGTTTTTGATCCCATTCCCCACTCCACCCCTGCAAAATGTCTCTGGTATATGGTTGTTCATTATTTTTGTTATTTTCTTGCCTGGTCCATTATACTCCTGCTATGAGTGAAACCATCCAGTATTTTTCTTTCTCTTTCTGGCTTATCTCACTAAGCATGGTCTTTTCCAGCTCCATCCAAGTTGCTGCAAAAGACATGTGTTTCTTTTTTTTTGGTTCCATTGTATATATGTACCACATCTTTTTAATTCAGTCATCTACTTTTGGGCATTTGGGCTGCTTCCATGTTTTTCCAATTGTAAATAAAGCAGCAATAAACATGGGAGTGCAGGTATCTTTTTGAATCATGTTTTTGTGTGTTTTGGGTAGATACCTAGGAGTGGGATTGCTGGGTCGTAGGGAAGCTCCATGTTTAGCAGTTTGAGGAACTTCCAAACAACAAACTGTCCCATTTTGTAGGTTTTAATTGAGCCAGCTTTCTGTGGCCAGTCAGTGTCAGTGTTTTCTGAATCTGCCCAGAGCAATCTTCTTGAACACAGATTCCAGTGGTGCATTCGAAACAAAATCATTGAATAGCATTGTTAAAAACAAAACAAAACAACAAAACAATAACAAAGCTCACAATAAAGGAAAACCTAATTTACTTGAAAATTAGAATTTACTTTAAAAAAATTGTCTTAGCCTGGATAAAATGGCCCAGAATATTGATGGTTCTGCAGTGAGAATAGTTAATTTTCTTCCTTTCTTCCTAAATAATTTCCTTCACTTGCCTGGATCCTAATGTGTACTTTGTGATCATTTGGCTTTTTTAGTTTTTCTGTGTATCCCTTACTCAGCTGATATCTTTTAAAAATTAGCTCTTCTAGAGAAGTAGTTCTTAAAGAGTCAGAACTGTTTTCAAAATAATGTTAAGACATTATCTAGTTTTCTCTGCATTTATACTTGCCCTGATGAAGCAAAGCAGTGGTGTATAAAATGACTGGCTGCTTTAGCCTCTATTAAGGCAGTGTACTAGTAGTGATTATGTTACAGAGCAACTCTTAAGAAATGGTTTGTCTGACTGTGGGTCCTCACCCATGTGCATAAAAGGAATTTATAATAAGACTTAACTGCAGGCATACACAAAAACGTTAATAAAGGGTTTATTTACAAAAGGAGAAATGACGAAATGAATAACTCAGGGAGAAAGAGAGGGAGATAAATTGGTGAATGCATCCAACAAGTTCTCCTGAGCTGAAATCCCAAAAGCAAGCTGAAAGTGGGTAAAAACCAAGAGCCCAGAGCCAAGAGCCAAGAGACCCCCAAAGCACATGTCTGGTTATATACCAGACCTGGCTGCTCAACTCTACCCTCAGTTCCCAGCAATCCTCCCTTCCATGATGATGACGTTGTGGGATTTGTAGTTCCAGATGGCTTGATCTCTTTGGTCTGGAGTGGGGGTGTATCCACAAAACTGTCTCTGAAGTTCATTCAGGATATCCTTTCTCCTCAATTCTGATAACCATTATTGAACCCTCACAGTAAAAACCAAAACTAAGCAACAACAAAGGGTCACTTTCACCTAAGAATGTCCTTCATGAAATAGGGAAAATTTAATTTCAATAATATTTTTTGTGACAAAAAAGGAAGCAGGTATAGATATTTCTGCAGACTAAGTTAGGATAATTGTCTCAAAGAAGTGCTGAACTTGTATGACTTGTTGGCTGAATTACTTGTTTTTTTCATTTTTACTTGGATAACAGACAATTCTGTTTAGATTTCTGTGTTTAGAGGACACTGCAGCAAAACAACTTTAAGAAAAAGCGTGTCAATTTTTTGCCTTCAATGATAAAATTTGAGATTTTGAGCAAAAAATCTTGAAAATTTTGTATTAATAAAATGACTTAACATTTGGAACGTTTACATAATTCTGTGAAGCAGTATCATCAGTGCATGATGATAAATTATGCATGTGTAAAGTGTTCCTTTAAACTGCAGTCCATCAGGTTTTTTTTTTTTTTTTAAATATTTATTTATTTGGCCCTCCCTGGTGGCACAGCAGGTTAAAGCACAGCACTGAGAATCTAAAGCC